GTGAATGGGTTGCCCAAGGAAGTTGTGAATGCTCCATCCCTGGAGACGTTTAAGGCCAGACTGGACAGAGCCTTGGGTGACATAGTTTAGTGTATGGTGTCCCTGCTCATGGCAGGGGGGTTGGAACTAGATGATCTTAAGGTCCTTTCCAACCCTAACTATTCTATGATTCTATGATATATATATACATATACATATATGAGTGTATATATGTATATATTTTTATATATGCCTATATATACATGTATATACGCACACACACATATGGTATTTTAAGATGGACAAGAACTATAAGACAGGATTCTGAGTCACATTTAAGGGAACTGACTGAGAAAGAGGTCCTAGGATGGCTTCCCTACCAAGCACCTCAATACAAACCATTTTCCCTCTTGGAAAACATTGTTAACTTCTTGGTCAAGGCCATTTTTTAGTATGTTCCCATGGACCGTTTTTTACCAATCAATGGAGTTTAAAATAGAGCATGCTCAGTCTTGCAAGTGCTGAGGTTCATTTGGGTGGAGGTAAATAGGTCAGACGTGACCTCTCCTGTCACTTCGTCCAGGCCAAAAGCAGTCATGAAGCTGAATCTTGAAAAGTACCGGTGCCCTCAGGTTCCTTATCAACAGAGGAACAAACAGGAGAGGCGCTTTGCACCCGCACTGGGACATGCAGGCAGGGATCACCCTTCTTTTCTGCCACTGGGGATTTCATGGAAGCTTCAAAAAAGAGATAGCAAAAGCTCTGAATTAAGGAATGACCTAGCTCTATGAAAAATCTATGGGCCAAATCCTTGTACATATATGTATAAAAACAAGCTATTGAAGTTAACAGCTTTTGAGGATATGCAGCATTTTTACCTGTTTTTACGTAAGGATTGCATTTACAACCTGCTCACGAGAAACTTTATCATAACCAGAAAGATTTATGTCTCCTGGGACTCTAGCTTCCTGTGGGTTATCAAGCTGAAGACAGACAACTTGTCAATTGAAACTAAAGCAAACGAAGTGACTGATGTAAAACAAGTGCATCATCCCAAGTTCACCCCTGTACTGGTCCAGCCTCCAGACCGTGTGCCATTCAGCAGTTCTGCTGTGCCACCAGGTATTTTGGAAGCAGATATTGCAGTTCTTCATGTAGAAATATATTTCTACTCTCGAAGCGAAGCAACAGTCAACGTGCGATGGTGCATAGGTGCTGTACTAATAGTTTATTGGAGAAAAAAGCTGTCGCCACCACCCTTCAGTGATGATAAATCTATTACCTGGAAAGGCAGTGACATTTTTTTCTTCTTTTGGCTGACATTTGCATGTGAAACCATTTCTGCAGAAAATGTTTACACTGATGTTTACTCCCAGTAGCAGCCCGGTTGCACCTAGTGCACCAGAAGCTATGCCAAGGGTTGTCCTCTCCTTTTGCACCTTAACCTCTGTAATACATGCCTGCTTTCCTCTACCCCAGCCATGTAAAACAAAGGTATGAGCCACTGGCAGGGTGGCTGTGGGAAGTGGGACCTGTGTGCTGGTAGAACACAGGAGGAGGTGTTGGTCCCCAAATACAGACCACACCATTTCTATGTGAATAAATGGGCACATGAGGTATTGTCCTTCATCTTTCATCTGACTCTACATTTCATCCTTCAGAGCTAGCCTAGAAGCAAAACATAATCCACAGATAAGAGAATCTATCCTGAAAATATGAGCTCTGGAGTGGTCATTTTGGATTCAGTGCATTCAGGCTGTTCAAGATTAGAGTAGGTAGAGAAATGGTGAAAATGCCTGTGCTACGATATGCTCTAAGAGATCTAGGTGAGTCCAAGCAGAGCAGGACACAGAGGTACTTGGACCCAGTATCATGAAGCGAGAGACAGACTTATTGCACAGAAACATTGTCCTCCCTAGGCTTTTCCCATGAACTTCACCATGGGGTAGGATCTGACTGAGAATGACAGAGGGCTAGTTCTAGGGCTGATCTCAGTGTGACAGAGACTAGAGTCTAATCCTGAGGGTCAGCAGCACCCAAGACTGAAGTCCAGTGTTGAAAATTAAACATATGCCAATGCTTGTTTTCCAGCTTAGACCACATTAGTCAAGAAATGACAGTAATGATATCTGAATCTCAAATCTAAGCTACTAACAGCCATACTTCTGTTGTCATACTAGTGTACTATTCTTTCCTTTGGGCAATTAAACTGTTGGCCTAATAAATGGCAGTGCCAACAGGCCTGTAATTTAAGCCTTGGAATCTGTGCATAGAGGAATTTTTGGCTGCTGTTAATGGATGGAGGTCTATTAGAGTTGAAAATCCTGCTTGTTCAAGGCCTTTCCAAAAACAGTGTGGCAAAACAAGGAGACTTAACATCCTAGCTCAGGAAAAAAACAAATTGTACATTGGCAGCGGATGAAGATTCTCCTTTTATTTTAAATCCTCTGTAAAATCAGAGCAATGGGTCAATTCCAGCATTCAGCCTATTTAATTAGCGATTTCAGAGTAATCATGGTAATGAGCCAAGTCGGCAAAGATGTCATTGGGGTTCTTGCAGTTCAGGTTGCAGAAACAAGCATTGATCCACATGATTTTCCAGGAAAACTCAGTTCCATCTGGGCACTGGAACCTCACTTCAATAGTCTTGGACTTGTAGGGGGTGCAGCACCTATTGTCTGTGCAGACGCCGCAGTATTTGGGTCTATATGGACTTTTGCTCACACATCCTGAGATGGTGTAGTTCATTGGTTCGTTGGCTCTGTAGACAGCCAAGCACTTCTTCCCAGGCTAAATCAGAGAACAGGAAAAGAGACAGGTTAAATATATGTTGCTGACATAGGTAGGACACACAAACCACCTTCCCCATATTTAAAGGGTTTTGAAGCTGTTAGGAGGCATTTTCCAGCCCTGATCTAGGTGTGACAGTTTTACACACTTACTTAGACATACAAACCTAAAAGCTGCAAGTAGGGTAACTGCAAAATACAGCTCATAGCCATGACCAGCAGTGCACCAGTGCTCTTCCACTAGCTGAGTCGCAGGTCTGTCTGAACCAGCAGCAAGCACAGTGCACTTGGCTTGTTTTCCACTGCAAAGGACCCTTCGGCTGGCACTAAAGCTCTCAGGGGAAGGTTTTCACACCACCATGTGGAACCATGAGGAGGACACGTTTTTGACCTCTTTGTGGCACAGTAAGTCCATGTAGAATTGCAGCCTTCAGAAGCCGGAATGCTGCCAAACAAAGGCTGACCCCGTGTCTGGACAAAGCCCCAGGGGTGTGTGAAGGAGCAGTCCCCACCTTAATGTGCTTGGTGATATCCACCTCGCAGGGCCGCATATTGCACAGGCGGCTTTCCTTCAGGAGCCGGCACTGGTCGTTGTCATTGGAAATCCTAGTGGAGATGCCCAGCCCGCAGGTCTTTGAGCAGGGACTCCAGGGGGAGGTGTGCACGATGCAGTTCTTCTGCCAGGCTTCATCCTCTCCCTCGTATGCTGCAGAGACCAGATTAACCCCACGTTATTCAGCCACAGCAGCTTTCCATATTAAATGCCCTGTCCCCAGCTCATTACACATTCAGGCCACTAACCCAAACAATGAAATCACAGCGGAGTGGCTCAGCGTTCCTGTGAACCCTCTCATCCCACCCCCTTTGCCACTGACCTACTTTGTGTCAGACCCTCCGGTGCTGCGAGCGCTTGGGGCCAGGGCTCATTTCTTTATCTCCCTTCACAGCCTCGCACAAGGGGGTCCTTGTCTGGGACCCCCAGGTGCTGCCACAATGGCAGACAATTACAGCCAGTGCAGTAAAGGGACGAGATCTGATCTCACCATGAAGGTTTATTTCTGAGCCCATTCAATCGATGCTGTAACAGAAAGTGGCCAACAGCCTGCTGGATGGCCGAGGGGCTTGGGAAGCAGCCACTGCCTTTCCCTAGGAGGAAGAGC